TGGGATTCATCACAGATTTCCCCCAGATTATCTCAGAGATTTTTGTTTATGTTTAAGTGAGTTCCTGTAACAGGCTCTGCACAGGCAAAAGCACCTGCCTGTTCGTTTGGCACAATGAGCAAGCTTACTCTTAAGGACCTGTGTTGAGGACATGTATTTCTGGATGGCTAGGAATGTGCAAAATGTGTGCACTTCACTATACAGCCAATAATCAGGTCTTCACTGAGAGAAGCTTTTCCAGTTCTAAGGATTTTCTTCTAGTGACAGGCACAAATCTGGATATTAACCATCTCTAGCTATCCAGAATTTGTCTCTTCCAGCAAGACAATGACAGTTCTGAACAAAACATGGAAAAAAACAAAATTTAGCATTTTTCTTTTTTTTTATTTCCCCAGAAAAGCTTAAAGAAAATCCTGGAAAAGCTCCCCTTTCAATGGCAGTTATATCACCCCTGTATTTTAGATGTCTCAATGTAAATCAATCCAAGTAATCAAGCTGAAAAATGCACGTGAGCTGTTCTAGATCCCTCTGTCTCGTCATAACAATATAAAGCCTGTGGTGGTGGTATTTCATATTTCACAAAATGACTCCCAAGATGAGTAATTGCTTACTAGCAAGTCACTGTGGGATGCTGAAAGCAGTGTTCTGACAAAGGCCTGAAGTACACTGGCAAAGTGGTTGTCCCCATACAACTCGAAGAAGCCAAAGCAGATATAATTTCCACATAAGGCAGATTTGAGTGCAGAGTAACAGATGGAAACGCCCTTGCGTTTCAGTGGATAAACCTGATCTTCTGACAAAGTCCCAGGAGAGGGGATCTGATCACCTGTTTTCATAAAAGGAAAGAAAGAAAGGAACTTCTGTAAGCAGCTGCAAATCTACAATATTTTGATGGCACTAAGCCCGTATTTTGTCTTTGTTTTCTTTACTATTTGGAAGGAAAAATTGTTTCTGCATTGACAGTAAAAGATCTGTTCAGTAAGCATGACTAGAACTTAAAAGTCACCAGGGAATTAATATGCAAAAACTGAAATACACACTGTGGAATTCCTGCCCTTGATTTACGCCCAGGCCGTGGCTGAGTCTATCAGCATGAACTCACCATCTCAGAGAGCTGCAACACACGGTTTTATAGTTGCTCACGCAGCAGCAAGGCCTGGTTTTCATCCATTACCATGACGGTCTCTTGGGATGGCTGCTGATGTATACACACACTAAATACATCCCTCAGAAAACAAATACGTCCGTTACAAAAGCCTCTATTTTACCAGTCACAGATGGGAATGACTTTTTAATTAAAATCCGTGTTTAAAATGTAAAAATAACAGCTAACTGTAAATATTTGCTGCTGCCACTACCAGGCAATAGTGGCTTTTGGATCCAACGTGGCTTTATCGTTTTTGTGCTCCTCAGCTGCAGGCCCAGTCTGTAGCTTGGGTTTGGAAACAGTGTGGACGCAGTCACGAGGCCTGTGGTGTAGGAAAGGAAGGTCACGGGTTTTTATGAGGAGTGTTCAGGCTGACCAGAACGGCCTCATTCTTACATCTTTTACCTGGATTCCTTTTACCAGGCGTGAGGGCAGTAACCATCCAGGCCCATTTTCTGCTGTGGCTAGACTTCAGATCAGAAGGGCCTTCAATGAGCAGAACCCTGCTTTGCTGTGCTGTGACCCGTCTCGCATTTCGTGGCCGCTGGCTGGGACGAACCTCCCAGCAGTTAATTCTGAAAGCATGCCAGGTTTTCAAAGGAAAGACTCCCCTCTTCCACCAGAAGCACTGCAGTGCAGATCAGTGCCAGCTCCTATCGGCAGCTCTCATCCTGAATTAGGAGCACACGACACCCCGATACCACGTTGGCTATTCCACACTCCTGCATGCAGCACCTGAAACCACCCACACCACTCAGACACAACCCTGGTGAGCAGCAGATGAGTTCCCAGGAGGGGGATCTCACAGCCAAACGCCACAGCTTACTCTGTGTGGTGAGGAGGTACCTCCCTCCCATGGGACACCTCTTGCCAGAACCCCGCACTGACAAAGCCTTGCACTTCCAGATGGAGCTGGGCACACTTCTACTAGACAGAGAGGGACATGAAAGCAAAACAGGCTGGAAATAAATAAGGTTATCCATTGAGAACGTGGAGACCCTCAGTTCGTTTCCTACCTTCCGGTGCCCACGGACTGATTCAGGTGAAGGAATCCTGAATCATCCTGTTAAAACTCTGCCAGTTTCACAAAAGCAGTTTGAGCACACACCTCCCAGACTAACCTATAGACTGCAGCAAGGTTTTGCTAAATGCCAGCACCAAGCTGCCCTGCCATGCGGCATGACTGCAAATGGTCAGGAGCACTGCAGAGACTTCAAGCTTATCCCATTCCAAACACCATCCCCATAGGACTTCGGGATCTCACATACAGCAGGTAGCTTGATCTCACTGTAGCCAAGGTACAAACCAAAGAAACAACTTGAACAAGTGGCTTCCAGGTACAAAAATGCGTTATGGGTCTGTAATGCCTAATGTTAGCAAAGCATAGAGGGAATGAAAGGGTGTGACTCACATTGTCTCCTCCCCTTCTTCCAAATAAAGAACAAACCATCACAATTCTCGTCACTGCTATTCGCATGTCTCCCATTCCTCACGCTGACCCCCACCTGAAAAGAGCCACCTGCAAAACATAGCATGAGCAGCATACACTGGGGCTATTGCAACATAAACTGCAAAGACTCCTTCAACTTACACTATCTGTGCTTCAGAGCTGCTTCCTGAGAGGAGACGATGCTGGATCTTATGATTGTGTTGGCAAACAACCAGCCATTCCCAGCCACACAGCGGGGCTACGTCCATCACCAGCCTTCCAATGTACAAAGGCATGCAGGATTCCTGCTTACGCAGTTCCCACATCTGATCCTATACAGCCACCTCCTGCCCCTTGCAGTGCTGCCACAACCTGCCGGCTGCTGGCCCTCACTGACATCTAGCGTTCCCTGTGCGAGCTCCACAGCCAGCAAAAGCACTTTACAAGTGTTTATTTTATCTGACCTCACGGAGTGCTCAGACTCTGCTTTCCAAAAGTCTGGCATCTACTCGCTTGCTGCTGAAAACACAGCATTAATGATTCAAGCTGTAAGTAACAACGAAACCAAACCCACGCTCCTTGCTGACAGCACGACTCGTTAATTCTGAGAAGGGCAGTGGTGGTTCCTGGGACATCTCTGCTTAGTGGACCTAGCAGCAGGCAGTGTGCTGCAACGAGACTTAAAACCATCGTTTTTCACAGAGCAATTTGTTATATTGGGTTAAATCAGGCTACCCCAAAATGCTCCCAGCTGCATCCCACTCTAGTACAGGGACAAGCCTCACTTTCTCCAGCACGTTGCACAGTTTCTCTGTGTACTTCCATCTCAGATGCACTTTCTGATCCAAAATGGAAGAGAACCACATGGTCAGTAACTTCTGCTCGTGCAGAGGTCTTGCTGCCAGGTCACTTCTCCTCCACCTCTGCTGGGCCTGCACAAACGAGCAGAGATCACAGAATTAATCTCATAATATGAAGGCTTTGAGTTCTAAAGTAACCACTTCCACATGCTGAGCTGCATCACACCGCTCATTCTCACTCTGTCACACCCAGGAGGATCCCAGAGATGTAGCATGGACAGTGCTAATGGTCAGCACGCAGCCACCTCAGCAGATCCGACACTAAAAAATGAATCAAAAGCAAATGCATGCAGCTGTGTGCCAAACCGTGCAGCCGCTGGTGTAACCTGGTGCTGTGAGAGGTGCCAACCAGGAGCTTCAATGGCTGTCCATCGCCGGGCAGCAACTGGGCCTGTGTCCATGGAAGTGCCATCGTCCTGCATAGGCAGCAGTGCTGGCTGCTGCTGGCTGATCCCTCGCTGCATGCTGAGAGCTGCCCTGGCACATCCTGCAGCGAGACTGAAGCTGTGTTTCACACATACACCTATATTTTTACATTCCTGCAAGTATGCAAAACAAAGCTCCTTGTCTTGGGATGTGCTGGTGGATATATTATACCCTATGTGATGAAGCTGACCAAATTTTCATATCTGTATATCTGTACATATACACACATATATAGTCTAGTAAAATTTCTTCTGCAACTCTCCATGTGTCAGAATGGATGTTTTCACAAACCAGAAATAAAGGGACACAGAGAGGCTTACTTTTCATATTTCTACAATAAAGTAGTGCTTGCATGTTCTTCAGTGTAATTCCTGTTACTTGGAGGTACGTAAGCAAAAATGACCAAGAGAAAAAAAGATATCTATAAGATTTCAGCTTTTACTGTTCCAAGATAGTACCGGTGAAGCAGGTTGAGTATTTCCGAACTCTTACTCACACCAGGGACAAACAGAGGCGTATGTCACCACACCAAACAGACGAGCATCCCCAGATCAGCAATGGAAAGAAATCATTACCATGTAAATGTTGCTCCAGCAGTCTAACAGCCCCCGTGCAGATCGATGCGTGGTTACATCAGTCTCCTGGCTGTGCATTGTTAACCTGACAGCATCCAGTAAGAGAAAAATACATACTGGGCGTACAGGAGGACACCCCCCTACAGACATGTAGTTTTTATTATTAAAACCCAAATCTTTAAAACCATTCAACAAAACGTAATACAAACTGCCATCGGATAACAGCATTTTTAATAGAAGCGACGCACCGCCGCTCCACCCGCATGGCTTTAGTTTGCACGACTGACACCAGCAGCACTTTCCCACAAGTCTTTCATGGCACTCCCACGAGCCATGAGCTGCTGCCATCTTAGCGGTGATCACACGCAGACATGAAGATGCTCTGCTCTTACCGTGTGCTGCAGCCAGGCAATGCCAAAGTCTGCGGCACTGGAACCTTCACATATCCGCACCTTCAGGTTTGCAACTCAACATACAGTTACTCACAGTATTGCAATGCATTCAAAAATACAGGAAAATGTATATCGACGACAACAGACAAATTACATTGTTGTTTGCTTTTCTTTTTTTTTTTTTTTTGCATCATTCATCATATTCCTATTTTTCAACAGATGGTTGCCTAAAGCGCATGTTAGAAAGGCTTTCATTAGAAAACGCTGGCATGAAAATGCAGATTAATGCTTGTAAGTAGTGAAACAGTCAGACTTACAATGCAGATGTTATTGAAACATTCACAGCTTCAAGAAAATGTGCACAGCTGATAGCACTGACAGAGTCTAACTGTAACTTAGCAAGCAGCACAGCAGCTTCCTTCACATCCTGGCAAGAGGATCGATGGTGAGATGAGATCAGAACAGCATACTATGTTTTATTTAGAAAGCTGTAACAGTAAGTATTTGCCATAAATATTGCAAGCCTCATTTATGAGCGATGAGAGGCTTTGCAAGCTTACAAACTAACATTCACCAAGAACATAAAAGGCAAACCCAAAGACATTTCCATGCAGAGGACGACTCTCTCACAGTCACTGCATCTCTGTCACCTGCCACATGCATGGATGCTGCTCACGGAAAGCCCCGAGGCCCCTGGGCACTGATGCACACAAGCCTCTGGCTGCTATCATTGGAATCGTAGACAAACACAGGATAATAAATGGTTTCACAAAGGCAACTGCTCTGACACAGCCAGAATTTACAATCAGAGCTACAGGAAATGCTGCTGTTGTGCGTCACATGGCAAATCCTCCTATTTTAGCAACAGACTTACAATCACAGAAGAGTTTGAGTTGAAAGGACCTTTAAAGGCCATCCGGTCCAACTCCCTGCACTGAACTGGGACACCTACACTACATCAGGTGCTCAGAGCCCCATCCAGCCTGACCTGGAGTGCCTCCAGGCATGGTGCATCCATCTCATCTCTGGGCACCCTGTGCTACTGCCTCATTGCCCTCACTGTAAAAAACTTCTTCTTCTGCATATCCAACCTAAATCTCCCCTCTTTTAGTTCACAGGCATTTCCTGTGAGGGCACATTGCTGACTCACATCCATTTGCCATCCACAGTACCCCAAGTCCTTTTTGGCAGGGCTGTGTTCTATCCTTACATCCCCCAGCTTGTACTGATAGCAGGGCTCGCTGTAACCCAAGTGCCAAACCTTGCACTTGGATTTATTGAACCCCATGAGTTTCCCCTGGGACCACTGCACTGCCTGGGTCTCTGGATGGCATCTTCAGGGGAACAGAGAAGCAGCAATCCAGGAGCAAATGGCAGGCATGAGGCACAGGCAATGGCAGCTGGGCTCTGGTTATGGCTTAGGGGCAGAATCAAGACCAGAGCAGCTTTCAGCATCTCCCTCTCTTCCTAACACACAGCCATCATTACTAGGAACTGAAAAAAAACTACAGCAGTGCAGAAGAGGAGAAAAACCAAAAGTGTAAGGGCTCTAATAGTAGCCTGGCTTCGGCAATGCACTTAAAGATACGTTGAGAGTAACATGCAAATATTTCAGGTGTGCTGCTCAGTCAGGCTGTACTTGACCCAGAGCAGTTCTGGTCCCTGGGACACAACAATTCTGCTAGTGGAGACTGAAAATACAGCTGAGGCCAAATTCAGAGTGGCTCCAGAAATTAATTTAGCTCCAGGAACTACAAGAATCACGCATCTAATAATGCTTCTGTTCTACTGAAAAAGGCACATTCCAATTCTGAGAAATATTCAGGCTATATGGGCCATCTTGTGAGCACATTTGGAGCATCACTGTTAGAGGTGAAAGACACTGAACAACTCAGCACAAATGGTTGCTTTCCCTTTTTTTGGTCCAGTGACGTTACCTGCTCAGACTGACAACAGACACATGCTTGTAGGGATGGAGGAGAAAAAAGCAGGTTGCTGGTTGCACTGAAGGCTGTTATTTGCCCAAGTGATTATAAGAAGAATCGCAAGAAGGAACAACATAAATATTGGGCATTATTCCAGCTGCAGCTGATGTCTTTATCAAGTGCCTATTAAACAAGAACCAACTAGACAACACTGCACAGCTGGAAGACAAGGCTACTCTCACAGCACTGCATCCCTTCTGTGAATCCCAGCACATCACGAGCTGCTCTGCTCTGTATACTTGCTAGAAGGAATTAATTCATGGCAACTGCGTACAAGGCAGTGAACAGGAGAGAGACTAAGGTGTCATTCCTGCATACAAGTAACTTCTCTCAGCTGACCAGCTGTTTTGATGACAAGTGGTCAACTCGGGGGAACAAAGCAAAGACCACACAGAAGAGTATGCAGAAGCCCAGATAAAGGGAACACATTCCATCTTGAGGAATAAACATAGCATTACTCTAGTACTGATCAGACCTACTTCTACAACCAGGAATATTTCAATAGATGATCATTATTATTTTTTATAAAACATAGGGCTACAGAAATTAGGCATACTATATATTTAGTGTTATAAAAAGCTTCCACATACATAATATTTAAAATATATCTTCAGTGCCAACAGTATATTAGCAATATAGTATCTGACATAATAAAAATATATGCTTACTGGACAGGAACGACGTTGGACTACGACAGGGGATTGATTCTCCTTTGTGTGTGGTTTGTGCAGTTGGTACAGGAGGCTGCTCCCTCCTTCCCTTGGTTTCCCAACCATCAGCTGCTTGGGAACAGCCATTTTCCTTAAGAGTCCTCTGCAAAGCAGGCTGACGTGTTCCTCAGCAGACACGTCTACTGGGCATAATCCAGCCTTGCTATCAATTTGCTACATGACTCTTCCTGCTTCCCTCTTGAAAGAAACAGATCAACAGTTCCCCACAACAAAGCTCTCTGGGGCATTAGTAAGGATCAGGACTTGTACAAGACATGCAACTGCCTTGGGGATAAAGATTTTGCTACAGAAAATGCAGAGCTACCCTGGCAGACATTTCTGATACTAACAGCAACCATGTGGGTGCCAATTAAACTTATTTGGCACTCTGTGGGTGCCAAGGCCTTTATGTGGGAGCAAAGCTGCACCACATGGCCCTTTTCAGCCATAAGTAAACCTGGGAAGCTTAAATAAATCCACAGAGTGGAAAACACTTTGCTTTAACATCTAATGGAGAAATACAAATGTTAAGTGATGCATCTAGGAAGCAGGTGCCAAACCACAGCGAAAGGACCATCACACACAGCCATGGTGCTGCTGAGGTGCACAACAGAGAATCGCTCGGTGTCCCACAACGTAGCAGGACTGCAGAAGGTGGCTGGGACCATAGCAGGTACGCACCTTCCTCTAGCAGCCCTTATAAACCTACCTGGTCCTGCAACAACTTACCATCATTGATCAGATTTGCTCTGCAGCTTGAAATTTACATGCTACTCACGCTTTGCTCCTTTCTGACTAACCCTGGCATCGAGTTCCTCTAGTTAATGTGCTCAGGAATACGTCCACCAGCCTCAGCGTGGTGGCACCAGTGCATGTGAGAAGCAAGATCTCTGCAGAAATGGGGATGCTGGCTACACGGGCTGTCTGCTTAACGTCCTAGGTACATTCACTGTTCATTTTTACAGATGGCCCTTGTAGATTCAATTTTTTTTTTTTTTTTTGTCAAAGCAGATTAAAGGCAAGGCATCCATAAAACATTTTGCCATATGGTTGTATGGACTGAGCTTTTTGATTGCAATAGGTGGCTGAAAATGCTATCAACATGAGCTATCACACGCAATCAAGCTTGCTAGATTAAAGCAGGAGTTGTGGCTTGCAAACAGAATGCTGTGTATTACTCATTGAGCTTCGAGCAGCAGCTCTCTCATCAGGTTTTATTAAAGTATTTGCATGCTTCCAAAATGAAATAGAGGTCCACCGTCGTCTCTTGCGGAGGAGAGATGGGATCAGTTGCATTCAGTTGCCATTTGGTTGGAGATGTCGTACAAAATCCTCACACGCTGGCTGAATTGAACATGGCTGAATTATAAAAAGCTTTCACCCAGAAAGGAGGTCTTTGTTACACACGCAGTCTCTGACTCTTCCAGAGCTTTCCAGGCATGGTTACATTACGTTCTCAAAGAGCTGCAAGGACCGCATGATATTGTCATCCTGAAAGCAATGAGAAGACACGTTCACGAAAGGAGCACTGATGAACACAACTCCTAACCTGGCATGGCACAGGAGGGGCTCTGCGGGGAGTACTGCAGGCAACAGCCTTGCTTTCCACCCTCAGTGAGCTTGAATGGATTCAGCAATTACGTTCTGACTCGGAAAAGCACTGCTTTTACTTCAGCACCTTGACTGGTTTGAGGCATGCAAGCACTGAACTTTCTCCTAAGCTTGGCTTCCAGCACAGCCTCTGCTTCACAGAAGAAAAGCTGAACCAGCACTGAAGCTGTGCCCTCAGACATCGGCACCCACTGCACTGATCCTGAATACGAAGGTGTGTATTTAGCTTCATATGCTTCAGAAGCCCAAATGAAAGGACAGCTTTGAACTGACAAGCATGCTGCCATGAAGGACCACTTCCTCACAGGAACACCTCAGGCTCAAAACAAGAATACATGAAATGCCAGCCTCTCTCAGGTCCCTGGATCCAAATGAGAGAGCTGGAGACACATAAGGGAAATACCAGATTGTTTCTGGTAGCAGCATCCACTCACACTCATCAGAACACAGTTCGGTGATGCCCTGCGTGGGGAACCAATCCTCCTGTGCACAGCCATGCCATGACTTCACTGCACAAGAGCTGGAGCCTCAGAAATGGCAGAGGTAAGCACATCTGTTTGTTTCCTTAAGTAAAAAACCCATTTTTGTGTGGTATGGCTCTGGTCTGCCAGATGGCAGTGCATGGGTCTGTGAGCTGCCAGAGCATCAACAGTGAGGAACCAAATACCCTGCCCTGGTCCTGGTTTAACAAAACCCTACTGTGGAACCTGCTTCAATACTAAGATCTCTAATCACACACTGAAGACACAGCATCAACCTCTTAAATAAACAACTAAGTAAATAAAATACTGAGGAAGGTAGAGGGCACTATGAGCTTTCTCATAATTGTGTACTTGTCACAGAATCTGTACTGACCAGCCTGACCCCACGGCCCTGATGGCTCAGCAGCCTCACAGAGCATCACCAATCTTACAGCTGCTTGTTTTTTAGAGAGCAAAGGAAACCCAGGATCTGGAGTGACAGCTCCTTGCAAATGAAGTTTGGTGGAAGTGAAAACAAACACTGGTGGCATGACCTGCACCTTTTGTTGCACCTAGCATTTCATGCTTACCTCCTGACATGATTCGATAAACTCATCTAAAGTTACAACACCATCTTTGTTTTTATCCATTTTCTGCAAAATAAAAACAAGCATTTAGTTCCCATAGATAACACTGTGGTAACAGTATAACATCTTATGTGCTGTAACTTGAATAAATCTAGGGCACGTGAGCAGCCTACGTTACACACTCGGTGCCACTGGTTCAATTTGCTGGCAGCTAAGGACTGGTTCACTCTGGTATGTGGAAGACTTCTGAGGTCATCTCCACCTGAACCTTCCTTATACACATGCAGCAACCTCTGCTCATACTACATCATTTATTTCTTCACTGCTTCACCATACGATTGCTGTCTGTCTTTATGGGCAGCTGAGAAGAGAAGCACCAAATGACTGTGATACCTACAGAAGCTCCACGTTCACTGGATGGATATCATCCCATTGCAGAGGGTTGGGTTAAATCAAATAGGATACCTCAGACTCAAGAAGTCAGCAGGCAATGTAGCGTTAGGTTGGATGGCTACTAGAAGTTGTTTTAGGATGTAAAGTAGAAAACAGCTGTGTATCTGGGATTAATCTTGAAGTGCATCAGTGAAGAGCTCGAGTGCTGAGAAATCATCATCAGAAATCAAGTACCTGAAAGAACACTTCTACGTGCTGCCTTGGAGCATCTTCCTTCAGCACGGGATACGTGTACTTTCCCATCATATCATAAATTGCCTTTACTATATCCATCATCTCCTGCAGTAGTGACATGACAACAAAAGCACAACAGGGAAATTAATAGAAATGATAGCACTTTTATTTCTTTTACTGACCTTTTCTTCACCCCCCTCTCCCGTTAACAAAACAGCACAGACCTCGTGCCTGTATCTGCTGTCAGCCCCAAGAACACAGATGCGTGCAGACAGATGCATCATCAGATATATGCTAACCCTTAAATCCGGGGGGCTTGTAGTGCTCTGGGTGAGCCCACATCACACCTCCCAGTGCAGCCAGAAGCCCCTTAGATGCCTTGGTCACTGAGTACCTGCTGTCATCATCCCCTCCCCTTCACAGCTTTGCATTGCTCATAGATTAAACCAGGATTTTTCTCCAGGTAAGAGCTAACCATTAAAGCCAGTGTAACATAGGAAAACCCATCTACAGAATAATACAATGTGAGATCACTTCGCACTTTCTTAGACAGAAACACACTCAGGTCCAGTTTTATATGTTTGATGAGCTGTATGTAACATTAATTGTGCTACGTAACAGAAACAAGTCAGCTCTCATAGACCACATTTGTCAGAAACAGCCCTACCTCCTTGTTTATATAGCCATCCTTATTTATGTCGTACAGGTTAAACGTCCATCTTAGCTTTTCATGAACTGTTCCCCGCAACAGAATTGACAACGCCATCACAAAATCCTGTTTGAGGCAGAGAGAGAAATGAGAATCTGTGTAACATCCCTTTCCAAGTCACATTCCTCATTACACCCACCAAGGGAGTTACCCACTTAACACTAAGGTATCCTCTCTGACTGAATTCAATGGACGTAGTGCCCGCTAAGATGATCTGAGCAGCGTTAATAAATGTCTATGAGGGAACTGGGAAAATCCCAAGAGTCCTCAATTACTCAACTGTGCATCTTCCCTGTGCCTACCTTGAGAGGGACAGCAAGATCCCAGACCCCTCTGCCACACAGAGAAGCTCAGGTTTTGTCCTCTAGCAAAACACAACACATTTAGCCAGGTGTGGTTCCCACCTCTACTCACTTAATCTGGGACACGGTATTTTGTTTGCATTTTTGGTTTACAGTGGAGTTACTGCTTGCAATAACTTTGATTTATTGTTCGCGCTGCACAATGGCTCAGCAGCACTGCTGTATTTGTTAGTACAGGCAGAGCTTCGAGCTAAAGCAGCTACACTCTACCTGGTGTCTCATTTAACACACGTAGTCCTCCCCATATCATCTCCTGTGGCTCTGCACGGGGCAGAGCACAGCCTCCTAAAGACCTTTGTTCCTTTTTACCCACACTCAAGAGAAATTAAAGTTTGCTGAACGATACAAAAAAGGGGACAAAATGCTTACATTTGATAAGCACCGAAGAGACAGATTTGCCAGGAAGGAAAGCTCAGCGTTTTTTTAATATCCTTGTTTAAGCATTTTGCTGTGGGTCAGTTCGTTTCGGATTCTGGAAGTAATGCTCTCCAGAAGGGCTGCTACAGACAGAACTCCCACTGCAGCCATCGCTACAGAGATGCACTTCCATATGGCAACCTTCCCACAGTTGATAAATAATTTCTCCGTCACACCTGGAACTAACAAACTTTGGCCACTTTGATGGCATAAAGCAGGGCTGCCTAGCATTTCCACCATTTTCTGTTTGCAGACACAGGCTGCAGCTATGGGGTGGATTTGGTATTCCTCAGGAACTGTGTGAGATCCCTGCTGAACATCTCAAATCAGCTCTGAAAATGCATGCGTTCCAGGAACATACACGTGAAATCCTGCAATGCATGCGAGTTACAGGAAACATGAGCTTCTCTGGCCTTTCTTTAATGTCCACATTATCTGTGCCACTCGCTGGTCTCTGCTCCATGGGACTGTTACTGCCCTGTGCTTTCTGCTACACAAACCTCTGCACTTTCTCCCTGTGGCACTAACACTCCTATGCTACTGACTAACACAATCTGTTTGTTTCTCCAGTGGGAAGAAAGCCAACCCATCTGCACGAGAAGCCTGCGTTAAACAGAATGAGATTGTGGCGTTTCAGCTGGTTGTAGCCCTCCAGCCCATAGCCCAGCAAATCCCAGAGTTTACGATGAAAAATAGACGGGGAAGCTGAAACACACAGAACTGAGAAAAAGGGCATTAAGACAGGATGCAAAGCAGTTACCTCAAACTTCACCGAGCCATTCTGTGCAGTGTCAAATGCATTAAAGAGATAATGTGCATACATGCTAGCATCTGGAAAACACAAAAGGCACCAATTGGTACAACAGCTCCTTATATACCACAGGCTCTCAGCAACCTCTCTTTCAGTATAAAGCCATCCTTAAAGCACTGCCACTCTGTGAGCTAGTAAATATTAACGTGGACTTGCAGAAACCACAACCCAACCCCACTGAATGCAAAAGCTTGTATTGCACAGGGTATGATCTGGGTTGTGGGGCTGTGCTTGCAAGAATGAGAGCAAAAAGCAGCACACAAGCATATCTCTGGGGCCAGTGCAGTATTAGCTCCAGCAGCAAGTGCAGCAACTCCATCTCATAGCAGCACATTGCTCTGTGGCTGACAACTACTGGCAATCTCTAATGTGGGTTTGCCTTTATTCTTGTTAAATAGCTGTTCAAAGGGCCTACATCAGTGTTTTTGCCTTGCTCATGTTTTCGTGTAAGATCCTGCAGCCCTTACCTCACTTTTCTAGCACAGAGTATCCAAGTAGCTCTGCAGCCAGGTGACAACAACCTGCATTAAGTCACACTTCAATAAACCTGACAAAGCATCCTGCTTACCTCCATGAGGAAAAAACTGTGCATAGATCTGTTTGAACGTCTCTTCATTAACCACCCCGCTAGGACATTCCTGTTGGAAAAAAGAAACAAAACCAAATCAAAACACACACCCCAGCTCTGTTAAGGTTCATTTGCAAAACTGTACAAGCCTAAAGAGAGCAATTATACAAATTGCATCCCTGTTCCCATAGCGTTCTGGATGTATGGGCTGTGCAGCTGAAGAAATTAAAATAATTCAGACTGCAATTCCATTTTAAGCATCTCACAGATTTGGTTCACAGCCTTTAATTCCTGTTTTAAAAAATGACCTGGACAGCCAGCTCGTGCCTTCTGTCACACAAAGGCTTTCTCTAATACATCAGATATCACTGCCAGCTAACGCTTCCCTGTCCTGTCCCTCTACATTAGCCCCCAGTAGCCAGATACCCTACACCAGTGCCATGGAGAGTAATGGTTTGTACCAGCAAATTCTCAAACATTAGCACTGGTATGAGGCTTGAAACCAGAAAGCTTGAAACCAGACAGCCCAAGTAAAATTCAGGACCAGGTTTAGCTTTGCTATGTGCCTCAATCCAGAGGCTTTATTATAAAGCAAACCCCAAACCTAAACAACCAAACTCCAGCTCTCACAAACCAAGAGAAGCCAGCAGCAGGATGCAGCTTTATCTCTCAGTCAGCCACCCTGAGCCACTGCCCATCCCTCTGCATCCTCTGCATACACACAAAATAACCTCCCCCGTTCCTATTTACAGACTCAGAGCTCCAAAGCCTCATCTTGGTTAAAGGCTCTGTTTGCATGACTTTGCATAAAAACTCATCCATCCTGTGATATTGCATACTTGAGTTCAACCACAGTTATATTTTTACCTAACCAGTGCAGGTGACAAAAATCCATTCCTCACCACTGCTTACAGGTCATTGAATTTGGGATGAGCAAACTTAGGAAAATCCCTTTGAATCGGTGACACAAAGTCAGAGGAAGATTCAAGCCAGCAGCTTACTTATTGATGAGTTCTTTAGGTTGTCTTTTAAGAACAAAAGGACCTTGACAAGAAATTCTGCCATCAAGAAAAGCTTATAAACAGAAAAAGCGTCTGATCTGCAGCATCGCCTGCTGCTGACATTGCATTCACCAACCATGGGAAGGGCAGAACAAAGAAATGGCTCCATCCCGTGTGAGTTACAGGAGAGCAAGGAGGGGCACTTCGGGCAACACCAGAGGCACCCCCCTAATCACATACACTCCATACCTCTTTGCTACTGGAATTAGTGCTATTAGCTTTGAGTTCCTTCCTCCAGTTCAGTAGATGCCTTCTTCCTGGCCAATGCAATGCTTTAGGACAGTTTATAAATACAGGGACTACCCATTATATTCTCCATGCCTTTCCCTTGCCCCAGGCCAACCCAGCAGCCCCAGCCACCATTCGTGTTCCTGTGCCTCCAGTCTCAGTGCATCAGCACTGGGCAGGCACGGCGAGAGGAGCTGCACTGCTCTCAAAGAGGTGAGGTCTCCCACAGCACGTCTGGCCACTTTGAGTTTCCACACAACCCTGCTTGCTTCTGATGTTCCATCTGGAAGCCAAATGGAAGTTTGCATCAAACCTCCAGGAGCGCAGTGCTGACACTGATCGCCCTGCTTAGCTCTACATAGCAGGGCTGCTTTCAGACACATATGCTAGTAGCAATTCATTTACACTTAATTGATCACCATTTTGTTTTGTAAGAGTCGAATAAAGCTCAAGAGGCCTCATTAGTGCTCCAGCACATCTTAAGGCAGCTGACTCGAAAGAAATCTCTCTTGTGAAAAGGAGCAGGTAAGCTCTCTGCCAGCTGAATTCCACTGAAGGCAACAGAGGTTCGTGCAAGAGAAACTTCATAGCAGCATGAAAAAGCACATCCCATGAACACTTGGTTTGTATTGTTGCCAAGCACAGAAACAAACCCAGCATTTCCCAAAATTTAGCTACCAAGCACTGGCACTGACAGCATCTGTCACGTGTATGGATCGACCTCCTCCGACTCCTCCTTAAACCACAAAGGAGCTGAAAACCACACTTTGAAATAAAAAAATCAAAGGAAAATTGCACTTGGGGTTCTTTCTTCTGCTAGAATCAGAAATTATTTTGCTGCCTTTCTTGTGTTCTCTGATAGCCAGCAGTATCTTTGTGGCATTATGAAAATACCAGAACTTCCTTATCTTGTTCACGCTGCTTGCTTTGGTCTTCAAATCCAGACTTATTTCAGACGTCCCATCTCACAGAAGGCTCATTTACATTCTGCAGATTTGCTAAAATAGTCACTCTACAGCACAGCCAGAGTGTTCCCAACAGTCCCTTAGTTATTTGGGGTTGCTGCTCTCTCACTGAGCCTTTGCAAAGTGTCCCTTGCAGCAAGCAGCTGTTCCCCTAATAGGGCAACCTCCTGAAGAAAGCAGAAAATCCCACAAAGATCCCAATCCTCTTAAATTCATGCACTCAATCCAAAGAATACAAGTAATGAGAAAGTCCAAAAGGGACATAATGAATTATTGAGCCAAAAGTTCTGTTGTTGGTGATCACTTAAACAGTCAGCAATTTGTCAATTTGAATCTTATAAATAATTTCTCACTCCCTCCCATTCATTAATTGTTCCCCAAACATCACTCACCTGGTGAACAGAAACCTCTAATTGCATCGCATGCCAACACTGCCTTTTAGCTCAAACAATTCTCTCTTCCCATATACTTATAAAACAACCATGTTTTATTTTATTAAGCTGAACCAAAGTAAGATCCACTAGGTTCTAATTCTTGCTGCTTCAGTTATCTTGCTTTTTACAGAGCCACAGCCAAAGCCCTCAGCCCAAGCACCTCACGTCCTGCAGCCAGTCTGGCTGCTGTGCTCTGCTTTGCTGGAGTGCCTGAGTTGCAGTTTGGTAGAAGCCTCCACCAGTCCAGTGTGGAAACATCAGATCTGAGCAGTCACACCAGGAGGATCCTGAGCTCATGGTCCATCCTGGCTGCTGCCCACCCTCCTCAACTAAATTCTGCCCTCCCCTCCTTCCTCACCACCTTCCTGGGGCAGCTCTCAGCCCATGGACCCCTATGGGTCAGCTCTGGGTGCATGGTGCATATCAGAATTTATTTCTCAAGATTTGTTGTCTTAGAGCACTGTGAGTAGCCAGCACTTATTCTTAATGACAGAAATAAAAGAAGAAAAAGAACAGGCTTATAACAAGTCAGTTCTTTGCTGAGCAGCTTTACTGGCTGCAGAAACGTAACTGAAGACATGAAAGCCTATCAGCAAGTGCGAAGGATTAGAATGACTTGATTTCCTGAGGAACTCTGGAGCTGCACATATCTTTTCTCCCCCCAAAATCCCATACTTTCACAGAACCCGCTTTTGCTCAAGCAGCTGACAGCTTTTGCTGTCACCTGATCAATCAGTTTTGCCAGTCCTGTTGGCCCAGGACCCCCTCAGTTTTTCACAGGGCTCCAGAAGAGCAGAGATGCACCTCCCAGTGCCCTCACTGCCCACACTGTCCCCTGCCCTGGTGTGTAGGGAAAGATTTCAGAGACAAAAGAACGTTAAGAAAGAAAAGTATGGAGAATTAGGACCCTGATCAGACAGGGCACTTGCCTGGAAGCAATACCAGGCTGCACTGAGCTGCTTTTGGCTGCGTGTCTGTCAACACGACCACCCAGCCAACTACAAATACAGCAGGACTGGGAAGGACCTCATTCCTCCTGTGCTATTCCAAGTGCCTGCAGCTGGCCCTGTGCTAACCCAGCTGTTGCCTTGTGATTAAACACGACCTGTGCAATCAGTGAGAGCAAGCAGCACGAGCTGGAGAGAAAAATGACTGTTTTCCCACAGGGACTTTGAATCTCCAGATGGCACTGTAACATCATCCCAAGAAGCACACGGTTCGGTACAACGGGAAATATGGTAACAGCTGAGATAGCCTGCCTACTGTGCCTAATTACTCATGCTATTGAAACCATGATTTATAGGCTAGAAATGCTAAAGCTGCCCTTTCAATTTAAACTTTAAATATTAAAGCTTCATGCACATTGCGTACACAGCAGCTGGAGGAAAGCACGCTGCTTTCCTAATGACTTGACGAAGCCAAGATCGTGCCAGCACTGCCAATTAACACCAAGACCATCAGTGTGGTCTTACAAAAGGGTTGAACACACAAGTTAAATGCACTTTTATCATTATTCTTTCCCTCAGAGGTAGTGCCTCTGTACTGCATAAATGGTAGCAAAACTGGGGGGAAGGATAAACTCCAGGTCTGCTGAGCACTGCAAGGTTCAGGTGCCTCTGATTTGCATCAGGGCTGCTGACACAGCCTCTCCCTCTCAGCACGGTGCCCTGCACTGGGCTCCTATGCACAGCAAGAAAGGTATGTCAGCAAGATATGAAAACACAGTAGTTAGGAATGCACTGAGTTCTGTTCCCCATTGTAAGGGGTTATATCACATTATACCATGTATTAACCTACTGAGCTCTGTCTTCAAAGCTGCATGTTTTGTACATGACCATCCAAAGCACGATGAGGTTTCAGAATGCCCGTCTTCAGAGGTCAGACTGAGGTCCTCCTTAAGTCCAGCAAAGGCTGCACAAGCACAATGCATGCAATAAACAAAGGTACAGGCAGCTGTGCTGCGCTGGAGAAGGCAGGTACATGCAGGAGATAGGATGCAACCAAATTTCAAGAAAGCCAAAAATAAGAAAGGGCCTTCACAACATCCAGCAGGTTTCCCTCAACAAGACTTGCATTTGAGGTGGCTCAATTTTTTTTGGCAAGGCTTCAACCAGTGGACTTGACTTTTCAAGAAGCTACAGTGTTTTGCTATGACAGTTGCTGAAGTACTGCAACTGTCCAACAGAGCAACTTAAAAACCACACGGCATTTATCAAGCTAGCGCAGTAACGATTCATTAATCATCATCAAAGCATTACCCGACACAAAACACCCGTCTGACTAAACTCAGACCCTCAGGCAGTCATGTAATGACTCTTCAGCCTTCAAGGTCCATAACGCATCTGTTCCACATAGCCTCAAAATCCCATCTCTATGTATTACGAGTCCCTGTGAGGCAGCAGCAGGGGACCTACATGGTGAGGCTCACAGTCCTGTGGAGACCAACCCTACCAGGGAGAATCAGCTGAGGCTGAGGTTCATGAAGACCAGCATGCTGCTGCTGTGTGCATGCAGCTGTGGCAGCTGACACATTCCCTTTCACCTAAACCGTGCTCTCCTACCCCCTCACCCTGATACCCATTACCTCCTGAGGTCTCTTGGGCTCCTGCTTTGTTCCCTGCTCACCTGGACTTTGTAGTCCTAACGTGCTCTAATAACATCCTACTCAAATAGTAAGAATTATCCAAGATAGGGAAAGGGGAAAAAAAAAACCCAAAAATCCCAGGCATCCCAAGCAAACAATACAGCTCAACTGGCAGCACGAATTGAGCGAGCAAAAATTAAATAAACATGAAAACATTTGCAGATTATCTTGAAGTATAGGCACAGCTGAGGAATTTGCAGCACGTTTAGTGACGTTTAGGGAGTAAATGTAACGAGCGGGATGTGCTCATGCAATCCCCATTTTAAGCAGATTATGGGGGCATCAATATTAGATGGAAAGGTAGATTGTGAGCTGATTTTGCTGTGGTAGAGGAGATGCAGTGCAGAACTGCTGGTATGCAGCAGGGGAACGATACAAAACGCAGCTGAGCAGTGGGGGCTGGTGGAGACATACATACTGGATTCAGTTCACTGCAGTGCTGTTCTTACATTTTTAAATCCTCTGTAAAGCACTTGAAGCTCTCTTTTAGTGAAATTGGTTTGCGCTTCAAGCTGCTCCAGGCCTTCGGGTCTGTGGCACACCGTAGTCATTTCTAATTCATCTTCAATTTTATCTAAAAGAGAAGACAGGAAGATATTCATTTTGGTTGTTACCTTTGCTCCGTTAATGCGATGGGTAAGACAGATTGGATTTCAAGAGCAATAGAGAAAAAAAAAGAAGCCATCAACAGAACTGGTCTGTATCACTGTTTTCAACTTCTCAAAAGCAAAATAAAAGCCAGGTGAGTAAAGCAATAGCTCATACTTCTAATTGGGGTTGCCAATTAGCACCCCATTCACAAAGTCAAAACTGATGGGGAGAACAGGATAGGCAGCAGACACGTTGCTCTAAAAGGCAACACCGGATACTCTTATCTAAATATTGAAATGGCTTTGAGAGCAGGCCTTTCAAAGTACTGACCCGACAGAAAGCTGAGCAAATACAAGTAAAAGAGCAGTCATGCTTAAGCATATTAGACAACGACATTACACTGAGGGTAAACAGTGAGGGAAACTCTTCTGTATGCTAAGTGAAGGACTCGCTGCCCAGACACCAAAGGTTGCTTTCAGCCCAAGGGAAATTCAAATTATGCCCGCAGTTACTGAATCCGAATGAATCCAACCTGCATCTGCATGGGCTTTCTGGAAACTGATAAGCAGTGAAAAACAGTCGTGTATTTTATTCAGGAGATTGCTCTCCCACAAGAAAGAAAACTATTTGAGACGTATCTCATGCTGGATTCTCTTAACCTCACCTCTTCTCTAACTTATCTTTTTACCTGTCAAGCCTGCTTCCCCAGCAGCGCAGGTAACACCAAAAAACATTCCAGTGCTTAGTAAGTGCCAATTTGGCATCATTTAAACTTCAAAAATCAGTGGCAGCTTTCAGCTGACATAACTCATAGAATAGTTTGAGTTGGGAGGGACCCATAAGATCCAGTCCAACTCCCTACAATGAACAAGGACACCTACACTAGAGCAGGTGCTCAGAGCACCATCCAGCCTGACCCTGAGCACCACATCCAGCTGCCACCCACCCGTACCCCAAGTCCTTTTATGCATGGCTATACTCTATAATATCCCATTTATACCCAAAGATTACTTGGCATAAAAGCTAGCAATTCCCCCCAAACCATCTTCAATAAAATGATCATCAACTGCTTCATTACCACAGACTGCGTGCACAACGCACAGTATTATCAAAACAGATAAATTAGTGCCTTGAAAAAAATGTGTAAGGTTATGAGATTACCATTGTAATTCTTACTGACAGACAAGGTTTGATACAGAAGTGCCCCTCCTCTTTCATCATATCACTTCAGCTTCCTCTTTCAGTATGCACTCCTACCTGCAATAACAACTTAAATCTAGTAAAGAGGTCAGACAACACAGAGCAGCCTAATTACGAATGAAATACATGAAATCTAAACAGGTGGGCAATGGAATTTGGCAATAAGCAATAGTTTATTTCAGTGCTATCAATAGTTAAAGACTGTCCACCATCAGTAAGCAACAAGAAAGTCAACACCGAAGTTGAGAAGCGATAAAAATTAGCGAGTAGACAGCTCTCAAAAGCCAGAGTGGAAACGCGATAGCTGAATGAAGACAAAACCAAGGACTCTGCATATCTCTGATACGTCAGGGAACAGAATTCTCCCTTATTGACTAGAAGGGAGGCTGGGGTGGGAAGAAGAAAATCTCATGCTCTTCCAGTTCACAAGAAGTGCCAATGTATGCATCAAACAGTGAAGGCTGACCCTGCGGGTGTTAAGCACACAACTGTATGGCAGTGTTAAGCATGCTGCAGTTACCTGCACGTTCAACACAAGTGGGTTTAAGTTGTTCATTGTGGTTTTAAAACACCCTGTGGAAATCTACAGGTTCACATCAGGACAACACAGTAATGGGACTTATAGAGACTGACTTCAAGTAACCTCATAGAATCACAGAATGGCTTGGAAGGGACCCCAAGGATCATCAAAGTTCCAACCCTGCTGCCACAGGCAGGGCCACCAACCTCCAGATCTGATACTAGACCAGGCTGCCCCGAGCTTCATCTGGCTCCATATATATGTATACATATATGTATATATTTTCTGACACATCTCTTATTTTTTTCATATCTGTACAAATTCATATATGTACACACTTGTACTTCTTAGCAGAAGTCATAGGGAAACTGAAAGGGAATAAAGGTAAGAGACTTGGTAAGAGCATGGAATAGGATGAGGGTATCACTGTGCCATTCTCAGCACAGAAGAAATGACTGTGAAATGGCAAGTGGCACGGAGAGACCTGAAGGAGGCAGCTTTGCCACACCAAGGGAATAGGAAAAGGTGAGGAATGCTAACTGCTATTAGAAGAAAGGAGATGGAAAAGGATGCCTGCTGGAGGAAAAGAGAAACAGATAATGAGAAATAAGGTGAAAAAGGCTATTTTCTTTGAAAGAGATGGCAGATGATGAAGCAACGTGGAAAAAAGCTGCAGAGAAAAAGGCTGGAAAGAAATTGCTTAAAATGGGGGAAAGGGAATGAACAATAGAAAAAAAGGACAGAAGAAAACCATGTAAGAAAAGGAGTCAGGTTATGGGCTCTGATCACTAATCCATACATTGCACACCATTTCGTTAACTCAGGGTCACCTAAAACCCTTCACAAAATGCACAGAGGTCCAGAGTCCTCCTGCTGTGTTACCCTGCTGTCCCTGATGTGAGTGATGCAAGAGTAAAATACTAACCAGCTTATTTTTATATCCTATAACTCAGTGAAGAGCACGTAAGCCATAAGACCAAGGAGGGATGCCAGCCTGAGGGGTTTAACCCTCATATTTGGTTTTTTTTTGGGCCCTGTCCCTGAGCCACAGAGACCTGTGCATGGAGACCACCCCAACAGAGCTGTCATTTGTTGTTTCCTTTTAGTGCTTTATCTTAAGTCAGCTCTTCAAGACCTTTTCTTTCTATTCCCAGACAGGCAATAAATTAAACACACCTCAATGGCAAAAAAGGAAGTTTTTCCTTCCCTCCTACAGTTGTCTTCTATCACATACGCTGTATTTCTTTCTTACATTTTCATTATCACACTGGCTCAGCCTCTCCCAGCTTATCACTATGAAATACAAGCCCTCACACTCATAAGCACTGCATTTTTATTTTTTACTTCAACCGAAACTAACTTTATAGTGATGAGCACAAGTATAAAAACAGTGATAAAACTAAACCTGCACGCGTTCATCAAGAAAGTATGATATCAATATTTCACATCGCATCACGCTCCTTCTTGTTTTTACCCTGCTTAAACCTTGACTAACAGCCTGGGAGATCTGAATGCAGGAAACAGGCATGGCACTGGTTTAAATATTCTTCTCCTTCAACTTGCAAGTGCAAGCGAGGCAGTGGCAGCAGGTGACACAAGCAGTGTGTACGGTCACCTCTGCAGCATGTGAGCAGCAGCCATTGAATAAGCCATTGCTTCCAGCATCCCTGCAGAGCTTCTCCTAAGAGCTTGCTGAAAGTAATCCCTGCACTGCTTGGCAGCTACAGAACTGCTCATGCATTTGCCCAGGTTGTTTTGCCTGCAATTTGGTTAGAGATAGACAAGGGGAAATAGAACCGAGGTTTAGAATTCAACCTCTGGGCGTGTTTTCACGGTTGCTTTAATAGCAGGATGTGAATTCCTCTGTCTGGGAAAAGCATCTGTGGTGACCTTACCACAAAGCTGGACCAAGTTATAATAATCACTTCAGTTTACTTTACTTTTTTTCCTGCAAAAAAGTCATCTGTATTTGCCTGCAGGGTAGGCATGCTTCCTGTGCCAAAGAGTCACTTCACAAAGACACGTGCACCTCCATGTACATTTTATGGATTGTTGCTAATGGAAGATACTGCATTTCATTTTTCTTCTGCCTGCAGAGAGCAGAGAACAATTTTTCATTAAAATAGATCAATACTTTAACTGAGTACACTTGGGGAATTTCTTAATAAAGCTTAGCTTATGCATCCTTCCATACCTTGCTCTAATTTTACCTTTTGCTATCTTTATGATTTGAAGATTTCCACACTTAGACTCTGTGCAATCGGTCTTTCACTGCTGTAAGCTTTGCTGAGCGCAATTTGTATTTCTGAGTGATGAACCAGAGGAATTTAAGCCCATTCATGTAGATGCTTGTCTTGAGCAACCACACTTCTACAGTCGAAACTGTTTCACCACTGATGAAAAGAGATTTTCAGCTCCTCCTGACTGCTGCTTTACATCGCAACACCAGGCAGAGGGACTCAGTCCCATCTTAAAAAGTCCAATCAATCTGAAGAAACACAACCTGCTCCAGTATTTCACTTCTCCAGATCTTTCCACTTCATTGGACACAAGCACATTAATCTGCCACGGTATGGAAAAAGCTGTTTCGTTGGCAGATTAGCTTTGAAACATACCAGCAGGGTAACACAGGGCAGGACAGCTCTGCAACATGGGCTGTTCCCAGCCAGGAAGGTGCCCCAGCAGCAGGGCATGCAGTGGGATGAGCCCTGCTGAATTCCCCTGCTGGCAGTGCACCTTCCAGCCATGCCTTACAAAAACAATTCTTCATCTCCAACAACCCTTTCTGCATAAGCAGAACAGATTGAACTGCTTGCAGACAAGGCAAGTTGTAGTTGTGTACAATAAAGTAGAAATAACTGCATGTTATTTAGCAGCTGCTTCCTCATCTGTGGCTGTGAACAGCTACGGGATCTGAACTGAGGAACCTGCCCAGCCTTCCCCTGCCAGCACTGACCTCTCTGCATCTTGCTTCAAAGCCTGGGGCTGCTGCTGCTGGACAGGACTCGATTAGGAAGCACCAGGAGCCAACCCCTTCCCTTCAGCATTCCCAGTGCCCAGCCGCAGAGCAGCAGTGATGTCATCTCACAGCCCCAAGGACACCCCAGGACAACAACACAGCACAAAGAGGCTGCAGATGGTCATCAGTAAAAACCCAGATGGCCCCCACTGCTGCTTCTGGAGGGGCAAAGGCTGATATGAGCACAGCTCCATGAGCTGCAATGGTCGCAAATTCCTGTGCATTTCCACTGTGGCAGAACTCA